AACTACCAGCTGGTGACAACCTTGGGGAGTGTTTTGAATTCGTTTCCGAATAAATAATAAGTTTACAAATGTTAAATCAAGCACGTTTATTGTCGATTTCATGCCAAAAAAGGGTCAACCGATGTCGGCAGGATTCCGAATTTGACCAAAGAAGAAGCCCTGTGGGTTTCACAATCTGTAAAATGATAATTTGAATAGAAAATAGGGGGTATATTAGTTTGGCCTCTGGCGAAGTTTCTTGTTGTCCAGAAAATGGCCTGATAAACTGAGGGAACAATTGTTAGAAAAACCCTTCGAGGACAGGATTGTGATTGTAAAGGGTTACGTAATCACATCATACGAAAATGTATAGGAGTTCTTCAGAAAGTTTTTCCTGAGGAAGATTTTGGTGAGTAGGAAAACAATTCACCGTTTCCTTTTAGAACATATTCCTTTGGGGGTCTAATCGAACCAGCTGCTTGGACTACAATGCACACACTGGGGGGTGGTACATCATTAGAAAAATCTACATCCAAAAACACACATCTTTTGTTGTCACTTAAAAAAAAACTCGCTTTAATGAAGAAATGTAAAATGGTTTCCATGTTTACATAGCCTGATGTAAACACGCGGGAGGTTGGGAGAACACGAAAGAAAGAGGAACGAAAACCGTGTTTACATACGCTCATGTAAAATGGTTTTATGGCCGATCAGAGCGCGCGTACTATTTGAATTATATTATAAAGCCTAACGTTACACGGACAAGTTCCATACAAACAAAATTTCTCACACTAGGGTCCGCTTGCATGGGCTACCGTGTCCACGAATTTCCATAGATAAACCTATCAAAAAATTTGGCTCTCGTTACATAGGAATTACCTGAAGGAGTAGGAAGTTAATTCAAAGATGCTGATGCGAGCCTCAATGACTTTTAGGAGAATAACTGAGAATCAAGATCTAAAAGTTAGAGAGAATTCGTTCCATGGTTATGAATTCAAATTTAAGCGCGGTGACCGTATTTGAACTCAGAAAACAATTAAAATTAGGTCACATAGCCTTGTTAATTATTATTTAGTCGGTAGATTCAAAGGGTCTCAAAGTGCTACCATTGTTGATGCAAGTTATTATAAAACAATTTCTTTCAAAAGGGAAATGCAATCATTTTCTGGCCACATAGGTATTTTAATAATATTAAAATACTAGTACAATTTAGTAATATTTATTACGTTGTGGTGTCATGAACGTAAAAGGAAACAGTTCTACTGCTGCCGGAAAAATTCATTAATTTTCTCCACTACGAGCTAAATAAAGATCTCCTAAACAGCCGGATACATCTTACTTTGACTGACGCACCTCTATATATCTCCATATGCGAGAAGGTTTGCGAAAAATTATCAGTTGGAGAGTGAAGCTGGTACAAGCAAGATGAAAACTGCAGCGATTTCGATGTTTGCACTTCTCCTTTCTTTAGTGTTGGTCGAAGGAATGCTACCGTTTACTCTTGTTACTTCACGGGTAAATTAGTCATCATAGAGATCCCGTCTGCTTAAATTTCTTCCAAAACCTACCGTAATTGTTTTATTATCGCCCCTTGATCACTTCATTATTTTTTAAGTTTTAATCCTCTCTCATTGAATGTTCTGTTTGCTTTTTTTTTCTTCCTCTTGAATGAGTTCAGTTTTCGATGTAAACCATACTATCATCGATTTCAGTTAAGAGTAAACTGACTTTTATATTCAATTACTTCTCGTAATCGTCGTTTTGACCAAATCATTTTTTGGGAAACAAGCCGAAGAAAGCGGGGAAAAATGCAAAAGGAATATCGATGAGGAACGACCGCAGACTCTTGAAAGAGGTAAGTGCAGAAATCTGTAGCTAACAACAATTTTTTTTTTTCAAGCGTGATTTTCTCCATTTTGAGTACTGTGGTGCATTCGTACTTGTATGCAACGAGCTACATTTCAAATGTTTTAGATGTCCTACGACTCCGTAGCCTTCAGAAGAGGCGTCATCTTTTTTCGTTTTACAGGCAAGCGTAGGCCAGTACGATTGGGGCGGGCGATTTTTCTGAAACACGCGCTCCTCCAATCGCTCGTGTCTCACGAAGAGAGCCCGCTAATTTTGTTTATTCTGCTATATTTCTATTGCTTGTTTAGACAAAACTGGAGCTTCAGTACCGAAGAGACATCTGCTTACAGGCCCGTGAGCTGGGATGCGAAGTGGAACAACAAAAATGAAACCACGTCAACTCAAGACAGCAAAGCTTCTCATAATTTAACGGTCGCCTGCTTTATGAAATCATTAAATTGAAATATAGATTGTTGTTGTAAAGTAAACTTTTTAAATCCAAAAGAGATTGTGTCCTTATGATAAACATATATTGGTTAAAATGTGTGAAAATAAAATCTGTGGATGATGTGATGGATAGACATTTCTTTGTTTCTTCAAACTTTGCGGACAATCAGTCTCTTTACAAGGTTTTAAACCAGATCTATTGGCTACCAAAAAGTAGTTAAACCCCAATCAATTAATAAAATACCGAATAAATAAATTAATCCTGAAAAAATCGAGTGTTTACGGGACAACTTTGTTATTTCACCTATTATAGTTTACCATTTACCGCACCATAGCTGAGTAACCAAACAGTTTTGATTGGTACTTTTTCCAACGAAAGCGCGCTAAAATAATTCCGATGTGAAAAAAAGATAACAAAAACTTTTCATGCCATACATATGACAATATGATGATCGAAAAAAGAGAGGGAAGAAAAACGATAATCGAAATGGCAAGAGAAGGCTGGGCTAATTAACCCTATAACTCCTAGAAGTGATAAACATGTAACTTCTTCCAACACTGCTCATACATTATCTAGCAAACAGGTAATGAGAATGTTCAAACTTATCGCGCAGAAGTTTTTTTCTAAATTTTTTTAGATAAGTTACGAGGAAATATGTAGCTGTCAGACAGGAGAACTAAAAATGGGATCTTGGTAGTAAAAGGGTTGAGGAACAAGAGATCCGAAGACATTTCGGGCATAACGTGATTTGTAGGGAACTAAATTATATATTGGAATAATAGAGATCGGTTTCATGATTAATTACTTCATCTTCAAGGGTTTGTAAAGTTAAGGTACTATTTAATAACGATCCACCGAAGTGTAGGTGGCTGGTGGTGTAGGATGTTTATCGTAACCCGGGAGAACCATTACAATTAAAACTGCCATCAGTTACACTTTCCATTTCGATTTGAAAAAACTTTCCCGGAGCAACTTTCACTTAGTAAGGCAGCGGATGACAATTTAAGTCAAGTCTCTCCCATACAAGTCTCCTGTTGTTCAGAAAATTACGTGATTAGCAAGAAAACAGTGGTTAGAAAAACTCTTCCTCTACTTCAGCAAACACATAAGAAAATTTAGAGGAGCTCTAAGGAAGTATTTCCTCAGAAGTTTTTATACGAGAGAGGGAAAGAAATTCCCCGTTTGCTTTTGAAAACATATTCCTTAAGGGCCTGATCGCACCAGCTGCTTGAACTGCGATGCACATTGGAGGGTGCTCTATCATTTGAATAATCTACATCCAAAAATGTTTCGAGGAAAAGAACTTAATTTTCGTATATACTCAGTAGGCGTCATACACTTTGTTCTCACCAAAAATAACTCACTTTAAAGCCTAACGTTTCATAGGAAAGTTTCATGCAAACATCACTACTCATAGCTGAGTCCACTTGGGGTGTTGTGTCCACGAATTTCCATAGATAAACCGGCTGTAACTTTTAGCCCTCAAGATAGGGAATTTCCTGAAGGAGTAGTCGTAAATTAAGCTAGTTCAAAGATGCTAATGCGAACCTCAAAGATTATTAGAAGTATAATTGAGACTCAAGATAGAAGAGTAAAATACAATTCGTTATATGATTGTGGACAAAACTCGGGTTTGCAAGCAGTGACAGTATTGGTAACCAGAAACAACTGAAAACAGATCAAATGGCGTTGTCAATTATTATTCCGTCGAAAGGTCCAAAAGGTCTCAAAGTGACATCATTCACGATGGAAGCTAGTAAATAGAATTTCTTTAAAAGAAAAAAGTAGAAACATTCTGGCCACATTGGTATTTATTACGTTGTAGTGATAGGAACGTAAAAGGAAAGGATTTTATTGCTGCCAAAAAGATGCATTAATATTCTCTACTATATTTAAATAAACGACTGTAAATATATGAAAGTCATATATTTGAACTGCAGATAAAGACGTGAATATGAAAGCGATCTTTGCAGTCATGAACACCACTTGAGCAGTAGTGAAAATAAGGCCTGAAAAAAATTCAGGCCTGTACCGGAAGATCGTTTTCATATTCACGTCTTTAACCGCAGTTCAAATATATGACTTTCATATATTCACGTTCGTTTATTCGCCACTTCACGGGTTTACTTGAAACCAACATGGTGACCAGCTCCCAGTTGGCTTGTTAGCTCAGTTGGTAGAGCAAAGCACTCAAGAAGCTAGAATTACTCTCGGTTACGCCTCGAGCAACTCTTACGCATCTTTCGTGCTCTCCACTGGAAACTTCCCGCGTGCTTCATATCTCGATGAACGCACGCTGACGTATGAACCAATTGTTAAATAAAACAATTTCTTTTAAAAAGGAAATGCCGTCATTTTTTGGTACTTTTATAATATTAAAATACTAGTACTATTTAGCAATATTTATTAAGTTTTGGTGTCATGAACGTAAAAGGAAACGGTTCTACTGCTGCCGGAAAAAAATTATTAATTTTCTCCCCTATGAGCTAAATAAAGATATCTCCTAAACAGCCGAATACATCATACTTTGACTGACGCACCTCTATATATCTTCATATGCGAGAAGTTTTGCCAAAAATTATCAGTTGGTGAGTGAAGCTGGTACAAGCAAGATGAAAACTGCAACGACCTCGATGTTGGTATTACTCCTTTCTTTAGTGTTAGTCGAAGGAATGTTTCGAACAAACATTCACAAGGTAAATTAGTTATCACAGAAATCCCGTGTGCTTAATTTCGTCCAAAACCTGCCATAATTGTTTTTATGATCGCCCCTTGATCACTACATTATTTTGTAAATTTAAATCCTATCTCATTAAATGTTCTGTTTGCTTCTTTTTTTTTCCTCATGAAAGAGGTCAGTTTTCGATGTAAACCATACTATCATCGATTTCAGTTAGGTATGAACTGAAGTTATTATTCAATTACCTCTCGTAAACGGCGTTTCAACTTAACTATTTTTAGGGGAAAATGCAGAAGAGAGAGCATTCAACAGAGTACTCAAAGATGAACGCCCGCAGACGCTTGAAAGAGGTTAGTGCAGAAATCTCCCTGTAG